CTATGTTCATTTCCGACTCGCATTTGTCAACCTTTGCATATGCTTCATACATAGCCTCGGACTCTGCTTATTGATCCTTCCGTTATTTCTCTTAGTATATAAACTCGTGTATATGTCTTGTAGTACCTCAGTCTGAATATCATATTAGTCCTCGCACTAGTCTTCACTCTAAGTCCTCATATCAGTTCTAGTCTTCCAACTTAGTTGTTATCCATCTCAGGCCTAGGGAGTTTCTCCCTAGGCCGGAGCTCTGCTTATCCGATACTCCACTCATCCGCTCATCCGATCCTCCGTAGTTTCCGGAAGTTCATCCGGATCTTTCCCGCGGTCCTCCGGACCTATTCTGCTTCGGACTTTGTCCTTGCAGCCCTTCCTCTGTTTACTTCTACTCAGGACAAGTCCCGAGTAGCCATTATACATATCCGTATCAGGACGAAACCTCATCGTAATTTCCGGAAGTTCCTCTGGAACTTTCCTGCACTCATCCGGAAGTTACTTGCACCCGTCCGGAAAGTCTTTCCAAAGTTTCCCGCGCCTTCGGACATCTTCGGACATCTTCGGACTTTCCTCGGACACCAATCTGAAATTAAGGGCACATACTCGGGTAAGGGGCGCAGCGCACGAGCTGAAGCCAAGCCCCTCAGAATCAGTCCTACCCTTTGTGCATGGTCTTAACATTTGTTATCAAAGCTTCAGACATCATTAGCCATTGCGCCACTTATGCTTACCAGCATCCTAATCTGAGCAATGGACAATATTTGGTCATTATATCCTTGAACAGGGTGTGTACAAATCTAGTGATGATGACATTATACTCATGATACGCAGGATTAATGGCTTTTATTAGAATACACAAAACAATGTTGAGTAATTAGCAAGTGGGTATAGACTCAGATAATGTTGCCATAACCGGCCAAAGCTTTGTTTGATGTTGCCTTTGTGCAATGTGCTGCTCTGATTAGTATTTAGTAGTACAGAATCGAATACACGTCATTTTCTATCACTTAGCATCCATGCCTAAGGCTGAGCTTCAGACAACCCCACAGCCTGCCCAACAAACTAGAGTGCCTTATCAGAAACCAATTAGAATATTTGCTACTGACATAAGTTCTTTTACATACTGAGTGCACGACATGGGCTGAGTTAAGAACAACTTAAAGGTGGTGCCTGTTCACATGACACGCTTTCCCCTCAAAAAGCAACTTTGTTATTCAGGTGAAGAGATTGTTCAGTTTACCAAATCTTTGGATGTACGTCTGCTTCTGAATAACTCACTACAATACATTGAGCGCAATGCAGGTCATCCCCATACATCGTCAAAATTTTCCTCTCTGTTGTGACTCTACAGTTGAGCTTCAAGTTATAAGGTGAGCTTCAACCTTCTTCAACCAAGCATTTTGCTTGATGAACGCATGGTAGGCAGAGATCCAAGCTCCCGATTATTGCAACAGCACCCTCTATGACTTCAGTTTTGACGGATGATGATCAGAGCGACTGTCCATTTTGGCGCACCCTCTCACCCATTGCTTGCACACCCTTGCCCTGTATTTCTACTAGTACTCCAACACCTCGTGCATGACTCCTTCACAGGGCATTTGCATCTGCCTGAAATTTGCATGTTCAAGTCAATCGTCAAAGGACATGCACTGTCCCTCCTACTGGCCTACCTGCTCCAACTCCTACCAGTGAGGCTACTCAATTTCCACTGCAGCGTGAATGAAAGATTCATAACCTGGATCTCATAATTTCTGGTTTGTTTCTGATGGTCCAGAGCCTATCAACAAACTGTTATGCCCGGTGTAGGGATTCATTTCTGGCTGGGCTGGTAGAGACTGTTTTTACCTTATCTTATGTTGGCACTTTTGTAGCTTACATAATGAAGTTATCTTTTCACCAGTTACCAGTATGAGTCAGAGTACTTAGCAAGTTTTCATGATACTTTCTCTCCTCTGAGCCTTGAGCCTGGTCCAGAAACCCTTTAGGGTTGAATACTAGCAGCTAGGTTCTGCAAAACCCAACATTGTTCAGACTTACCATCTGAATTGTTGTACCTTCACTGGGTCTCCTATTCACAGATTTGTATCTTCACCTTCATGGAGCATTGGAAGTACAGATATGGATCTGGAATGGCAATGGCATATGGGAGACAATCGAACAAGGTTATGTTCATCCTCAATTACCTGACCGCCGACTCTGGCTGCCATCATGTGATGAGCCCAGTTAGATCACCTGTAAAATGGCTAGCACTTATAAGGGTAGGCAACTGAAGGACTTATGATATTAGTTGGACCAAAATCGAGATTGTGTAGTAGAATCTGACATTGCTGAAGTGAGTCTGTTTGCCAAGGATCATCAGGAAAAGTGGTATTTGCACTAATTGCAAATATAGGATCTATATCCCTCAGGGCAAAAAAGACAAGTGCCAGGTTTAAAATGACATATAGAGTCATTTAATGCTATTATTATGAGCATCCACATTAATTGCAATTCTTGCTCTTAGTGTGATGTGCTCCAACATAATCAGACCTGTCTCTGAACCATCCATAGTTGTCTTTTAATGCATTATTTTTCACTTGGTAGTCAGCTTTAGATGAAAAAAAAAGCCAAAAAAGGCAACAAAAGCAAATGATATTGAGAGATGGATTATTGCTAACAATGTATTCCTACTCAGCGCCTGATTTCCTAGCGCTGCACATCCAAAATATTACTAAAAATGTATTCCTACTCAGTACCAGATTTCCTAGCCTTTGCAGCATGCCCAGCAGTCTCCAGAGCAGAGAAATTGAAAGTGTTGGTAGGAGCACCTTCAGCCACACCGGGAATGTTACCATTTCTATTTCAAACAGTTAGTAAAATTAAGGTGGAAAAAAAATATTACGCACCAAATTCCTTCCTTCAATTCATCCCAAATCATCTCTAGGTAGCTAGGACATTCCTTTTCAAAGTTCTCCAGGAGGCTAATATAGTGATCCCATCTAACACAAAATTGACCATAAAATGAGCTGCTGACTGATGTTACAAGTAAAAAAAATCAAACCTAGGTTTGAGGTGTGATTCAGAAAAGTCCGTGGGATGTCCTCTCATGATACCTAATAAAATGCATTCAACCTGTATATTCAAGTTTCATCAGTGATGAGTGAGAGGGATATAAGGTACAGTGGCTCAAAAAAGTGTCCCAATGTTTGTAGCTTTTCATGTAATTGCTATATCATGTGTCGAGACATGGGAATATGACTAAGCTATAGGGAGATGTCGGAAAGGTCTGCATCTCAGCTCCATTTCGGTTTCCTATACCGTGGGAAATTAATGACATTATTTGAAGATATGAGTATTTTAATTTGATGACTCATTGGGACACTTTTTTGACTTTGAGTTTTACTAATGTAATCTCTATAATTCTAGTACTGTGTGTGACCTCCTTCTGCTCCAATCACTTCTGCCACTCTTCTAAACATATTCTCTATCAATTTTGGGTATTTCTCTTTGGTGATTCCATCATACTCTGCTGTAACACTGTCTCATAGTTGGAATAGCCCCTACAGTGAATCTTGATATGCTACAAGTAATTTCTTGAGTGATTCTCAGGGGTATTCAATATGGTTGATGTCTTGGGTCTATGTTGAACATGATAGAATAGTAATATCATGGTTTGCAAGCTATTGGTGGCTTATTTAGAGGTATACTTAGGGTCATTGTCTTATTACAAAACAGTATCTTCTTCATTAACTCATAACTTCTGCATGCTTCTTAGCAGACACTCCTGTCAAATGAGTATTTACTACTCTGTATTCATCCTCCCCTTTGCTTCATAGAAGATTCCCACTCCATTTTATCTCATATAGTCCTATACCATCAAGTTTTGTCTTGAAACTTAAGGTGTTTATTTAACTTTTCTTTATCTTAATGATTGTCTTATCTATTTTAATATAAATTCCTTGCCATATGATTTCATCCTATTGATTTTAACCTTATCTAACTAGATAAACCTCTTTCAGCTATTAGCAGTCCGATATTTGTACTTGAAAGTAGCATCTTGTCTTTTATTTCTATAGGTTGGAGACAGAGGAATCTGTTTTTCTTGATTATAGCTTTAAGATGGGCTGTCTTGAGAGTCTGTCTGACTATTTGAGTAGAGATAGTCATAGGAATGATGGAAATAATCAATTTAATCACTTTATTAGCATCAGCAGTCTTTCCAATTAGAATATAGTGATTAAGAGATCTTAAGTCTTATAGAGCAACCTTCTAGATTGGCTACCAAATAACTTAAAGACCATAATATTACTATTCTATCATGTTCAACATAGACCCAAGACATCAACCATATTGAATACCCCTGAGAATCACTCAAGAAATTACTTGTAGCATATCAAGATTCACTGTAGGGGCTATTCCAACTATGAGACAGTGTTACAGCAGAGTATGATGGAATCACCAAAGAGAAATACCCAAAATTGATAGAGAATATGTTTAGAAGAGTGGCAGAAGTGATTGGAGCAGAAGGAGGTCACACACAGTACTAGAATTATAGAGATTACATTAGTAAAACTCAAAGTCAAAAAAGTGTCCCAATGAGTCATCAAATTAAAATACTCATATCTTCAAATAATGTCATTAGTTTCCCACGGTATAGGGAACCGAAATGAAGCTGAGATGCAGACCTTTCCGACATCTCCCTAAAGCTTAGTCATATTCCCATCTCTCGACACATGATATAGCAATTACATGAAAAGCTACAAACATTGGGACACTTTTTTGAGCCACTGTAGATATAGGTCTCACTGCACTTGATATCAATGCAAGGATGGGTATATTGTTCAAAAATGGATTTTTCTTCTGCCCCCACTTTCTTTCTTCTCCCTTGGAACCCCACCATTGCACAAATAGTAGCAGTCTGAAGATAATGTTCTGGAGGGGAGAAGCGTCATCATAGATGAGATTCTGTACAGCAATTTCAAGCTTCAATATGTCTAAAGCCTTTCAATAGACAGGACACTTACCTTGATATCAATTCCTCCATGTATGAATCTTGCCTCCTCCAACATCCACCTGATAGCTTTCTCCAACTCCTCATGTTTTAGCTCTCCTATTCCATAGGTACTGGGGACACTGATGTGGGTTTTGGCCACAAAATCCCCTCTGAGTTGGCCGGCAGCCTTCCAAGTCTATAGTATAGAATGAACAACTGAGGCACATCTAAGGAAAATACTCACATAGTCTATCAAGTAAGCTTTCAAGTCATCATCACTTTGAATGAGCAACATCTTCTCCCACAACACCTCATTGTCCCTAGTGCTAGACACCAGTAGGTCCCAGCAGAGCTCCTCCCTGTCCAAAGCTGAAGGAAAGCTGTTAACTGTAGCTACATGGAGGCGCATTGCCTTGTGAGCAAAGATAGCTATTCACTTAATATGCGGGCTGTTCAGGTTGCTAAGTTTCACCTTGCTCCTTGGAACGCTAGTGATGCTGAAGTACTTGTTGGATTTCTGGTTGTCTTTCTTCAGGCCTATAACTATCTGGTGTGTTCCTCAAAAAGTCAGTCCAATCCTTTCCAGTATGCTGGTACACTTACCTCCTCTCCAGCAAACTTTTTCTCCTCATTTTGAATGCCCTCATCTACCTCATCTACCTCCACCACCACCTCCCCTTCCTGATCTTGGTGGTCCTTATCCTAGTCCTCATCCCCATTCCCGTCCTCTCCAACCTGGTCATCAATGCCATCATCCTCTATCTCGCTGCTACTCAAGCCACCATCTAGAATCATT